AGATAAGCTACTTAGACAGCACTAAAGCAAAAGCATCAATATGACAGCCAGGGAACTAATATTCCCAAAGGAAAGTTCATCTATAGCAGCCTCTCTGATTCTCTTATGGCATCTCCTGTCCTGGGCCCCCTCCAAGTGGCCGAACTCCAGGGCCCGGTCGCGGCCGCGACCTCTGCGACCCTGGTAGTTCCGCCACTGGCAGTGTCTGTTTAAAAGAAAATGACTTGTTGTCTTTACATAACAGAGTGCATTTTGGATAACTATGCATATCTCCTCAAGAGAAGTGCTGCACCTGTGTCAAAACAGATTGAAGACAATTTGCAGCTGGGTGGAAAACACTCAGATAACTATTCCATGGTCCATGAACTGTTGATGTACAGTACATTGGGCAGGAGTGCTAATAATAGTCATTAATGCAGTACATCAACCAGAAAGAAAGTGTAATGGCGCCTCAATATCAGATTGCATTGGCCTGGGGATTTCTGATTATACTGCGAATTATTAGATATATATATAAAAAAAGGAGAAAAATAACGTACAGATGATGTCACAGGAACAGCTCCACAGAAATAGCTTGGTAGAGTGTTGTGAAACATGTGCATGAACATAAATCTGCTTGGGCAGACCATTGTGTTTATAGCCTAAAACATCTTATATTATGGTGAGGCCCCAACAATACGTATTTTGTTTTTCTCTAATGGCAGCAAAGGTTTTGCCATTGTTCTGGTACCCCTTTTAAAGCGGAACTACAACCTCCTATCTCGGACAGCAAGGAAGGTGCGATCTTAACTGCTATTTAGATTGCAGTTGCCATGGTGCTGCACATGTGACACCAGCCATTTGAGGGCTTCAAAATTTGGTTGAGAGCTGAAATAAGCACACTGGCCATCTTAAATGTTGGCATGCCTTAACCACTTGAAGACCAGGTGTTTAGACCCCCCTTCCTGGCCAGGCCATTTTTCAGTATTCAGCGCTGCGGTACTTTGACTGACGTTTATTCCGTCATGCAACACTCTACTGAAATTAATTTTATACCATTTTTTGGGGACAGATAGAGCTTTCTTTTGGTGGTATTTAAACACCACTGGGGTTTTAATTTTTTACTATAATTAGGAAAAATTACAGAAAATTTTGGGGAAAAAAAGTTTTTTTTTAACATTATGTTAGGAAACATTTATTATTACCCAGTTTCTTGGTAAAATATAAAAGATCGGGTCACATCGGGTAAATAGACACCAAACATGTCAAGCTTTAAAATTGCGTGCACCCGCGAAATCGCAGAAGACTACCATACCCCAAATTGGCCATAGGCGACACTTTAAAAGCTTTTACCGCTCATCAGTTTAGTGTTATCAGTGGGTGGAGACTTTAAAAAAAATTGTTTGTTTTTTTATTCTTTTTTATGTGTAACTTAAAATTTTAGGGGGGGGGGGGAAACTTACATTTTTTCCTTTTTTTTTCCTTTTTTTTTCACTAAACTTTATTGTCCCGGGCTCGCACCGGGCACAGCGTAGCCCGGGATCAGTGGGACAACGGCGGGGGGGGACCGATCGGCACCCCATACACGAGATCCGCCGGATCGCTTGTATGGTAACATTTCCGGCTCGCCGAGCGGCGCACGCGAGGGAGCGTGTCTGAGCGGACGTCTAAAGACGCCCGCTCAGATCTAGAGAGCTCCGGGCCGGCCGCTTTTTTACTACGGCCGGCCCAGAGGTAGTTAAAAGTATCTGTTTGGGGAGAGATTGGTAGGTCAGGTTTTGCTTTAAAATAACTCACCTGATGCAATATATACAAGTATTTGTAAAACCTATTTGGCATCCTCACCAACATACCTCAAATTTCAACACAATAATTGTCAATATGCTGTAATAGGTAATCTTAACAAATACTTTCAGCAACTTTAGAGAAAACACTGTTACCACTGATACGTTGCAGTGTAAACAATCTGTTCAGAAAACATTTGCCAATTACAGATAGGAATAATACAGCTGCTGAACAGCATTGTAACCTTTTGTGAGTCATAAATGCATACCCAGACTATCAATACATGTGCCATTGTAGGTGCAATGAACAGCATTTAAGCTTGTATGTAAATATCCATTAAACCATGTTAATATAATAAGAAACATGTTATCTAATTTAATATATAGAAGGCTAACCACAGGTTGGAAACATGTTATGCAAATACATACAGACAACAAAATGTGATGTCTGTGGTCAATGGAACACAGTTCTGATAATTATTATACCTGGGTACAAGGGAAATAATGATACATTTGTCCACAGCCCACAGCTGTGAACTATAATGCCTCATGAGTCTCTTAAAACTTTCATATAATGATACTTATGATTTCAAGCCTTACGCACTGCTCAGTCATTGCCAGATGGATGACCTCAATGTGTTGTCTTCAGCTGAGGAGCTTGGCTTAAGGTGCTGAACTGTCTGTAATATCCAGTTACAAAGTATTGGGCTGCATTTTTACATGATGACTTATAACACATGTTGAAAGATGAACTCTTTCTTGCATTATCGTTTTTTTCTGTTACTAGCGCTAGTTGGTTTTCCTTAAAGAGCTAACCATTAATCTGACATCTAAGTAGATTTTAGATGAATGTGCTTCAAATTATTTAGAAAAGTGTATCTGTAAGTTTGGTGTACTGAATTCTATAAAAGAGACCAAATTACCTCTGTTACCTAAATTACTATTTTAGGTTATGAACCGCTGTATAAGTGTTCAAACTTACAAGTGTATGGTTCCGAGGATTCAATCATGAGATTTTTGAGCTCAACACAATAACATACATTTATTTGTATATAGTATCAAGACTTAAATACAGCAAACCAACAATCTATTTAACTACAAAATACAAAGAAAATATTTAAACATGCAAAATACACAGACATTAATATATAACCAACAAACGGTAGACATACATCTAAGTGGGGGAAAGAGTATATGGATATTTACCCATTAATCGTCACATGAGGGCCCCATCCTGGTGGTCTAAAAAGACTACCCATTCTCTTGCTGCCCCTTTGATTAATATACCACTGGTCTTCATAGAAATGTATTGCTAGCCCTCGATTGGTTGCCTCACAATGCTTAATTTATTCAGATTGAATTTCAGTCTGGGCATTGGCTGACCCCAGGCCATGATTGTTTCTAAACAAGGGGGAGAATCTGGTTGTTTCACTAGCGACAAGGAAACCTTTGATGATATTGGCCAGAGACAGTGAGACTCAAGTAACACCTCCCAACCCTCTGAGTTCTAGAGTCCGCAGCGAACATTATATAAAAAATACCAGACAATTTGCTGTTTAGAATTACAACAGTGCCTCAAAACTGAGTATAAACCTACTATTACCAATTCAATGAATATACTGCAGTCATAGTCCTAAACAACAAGTTTATTACATTTTTGTGCACTGAAACAATACAGTGAGGAATGGGGAAGGGATTTTTTTCCATGTACCGTATATTAAACTATTTTACTGTAATCTTAAAGTGAAAGAAAAATTATTTAGTCATGGCTAAAAACACTATTCAGACAGAAAAATGTTGCAAAAAACTCTAAAATATAAAATAAACTGTGCATTCAAGCCCATGAAAAAGGTTGCTGAAATGTGTGGAGGGAAAATAGCACACCATTCTTCACTTCGACTAGGTGCTGGCTGTATTAAACTATATGGGAAATCCCACTGTTTCCCACTGGAAACATAATAGAGTTGCCTTTACCAAGGTAGCTCCATGTTTGCTAAGGAAAAATATTCTTCACCGGTTTTACTACTTTGCAAAGCTTTTAGCACACTAACTGCTATCATTTGAACTGAAACCTGAATGTGAATTCCCCTTACTTCTTACAGCCACGACCTAATATTTCAGTGCTAAGCAGGGGGATCTTTCTATTATAGTCACATTAGCAGTCCTAGAAATAAGTGAAAAAATGCTGGAAACAGAAAATAAAAATTTCTGAGGAAGTCCCGTTGTTTTTGTATCAAATAGTTTATACAATACTGCATAAATTGGTGTTTTATTATTCCAACCCTTTGAGATATTAAAGTAACCCTTTGAAATATTAAAGTAATGTGCTTCCAAGGCCAGATTGAGTTGTTTTTTTTAAAGGGCACAAAGCACTAATTGTTGAAACCTAATTCGACAAGACTGTTTTTTTTTAATGATCCAATGAGTTTGTTTCTTTCTGATTAGTTTTCTTCCATGCATCAGTTTCAGTTGAACAACTAATCCACCTGAAATCACCTGGTTTCTTTATCCAGTGGGTAGGTCAGAAGATGTCTGACGAGGGCTAAAAGCAAGATTGGCTGTTTGATCTTAGTGCAAAGACAGCTGCAATTAGTGATCAGAGATTTAGGAATGCCACTCCATGGTGTCATATGGGTTCTTCCCCCATCCCTGAATTCAAAGAGCAAGCATTCATTATGCTTTACTACAGGTTGTAAACACAGAGTTCTATTTTGTATTTAAGACTTGTCAGAATTCAAGCCGACTGAAGGTGCACTTCACAAATTTGTTATTTTGTTAAGTGGAGAATTTCCCCAAATTCCTACAGAAAGAGGAAACTCATATATTTTTATTTCGTGTAATTAATGAAGTCTAACCAATTGATGAGCCACTTAATTTGTCTGAACTAGAATTTGAGCTGGGTCAGGATGATTTGCAAATAGTCACCCAAGCTCCCTATTTACCAGGAGAATCTGTTCAGTGATTTAGTAAAGGCTTTCGTTAGACCACTTATTAACTCATTGGAGGACCCTTAAAATCGATGGTTGTACACAGCTGACCCGATAACAAAGTACTGAACTTCCTTTTTAGATAAATTACATCAAAACAGGCAGAGACTCTCATTCCAAAATCCTTTGGTCCACTGTAACCCAAGAAATAAGGAATGTTCGCTTATCAGTGGTTTAAACCATAGCCGATTGATATAACTTTATAGCTATGTTTAACATACAGTATAGCTTCAGATAGTTGGTGACTAACCTGTTGCATATTTTGCATTGCCTGCTGCAGGAATTGTAACTGCTGATCCTTGGTCAAGCTTTCCTCTGTTCGTGCATGGTGTCCTTGTTCTTGTTTTAGAAGTTCAACTTCATTCCTGTATGCATCCAACTGCCATCTCAGGCTATCATTCTCTTCCTTTAGTGCATAAGCTTGTGCAGCTAGAGCTAAAGTTGAAGAAAAGTTAAAACTTAGAAAACGCATTAAATGTAATCTACATGCATTTTTCCTTATTTTATCATCACCACAATTAGCCATGTTCTACTTATTTTCAGCATAGACCCATTTAGACATTCAGTACAACAGGTACATCTATCAATACTTAACTTTGCTCTGTGATTGGTTAAGCAAAAACAAAAAAATATGCTCTCCGTAGCATGGGTATTTAAAAGGGACAAGTGTGGGTGTTCCTATAGAAATCATTCAGCTTCTGTTTTGTCAAAATGGAAGGAACACATTATTATAGCCAAACTGTAGTCACCTAAGATCCATGTATTCCCCAAACTATCAACTACAAATCATTATTAGTGAAAGGAGAACATTAAAAGAGAACTATGGGGTAAGTGTTTTTTTATAATAGACATATACTAGCCTCCTACCATGACCCAAAGCTGAGGTATATCCTGAGCTAGAGCTCGCGGTATACTGAGACCTCCACAGCCAGGACGGATCCCGACAATGCTGTCGAGATCCACCCAGCTACGTGAATGACAGCTGGCTCTGCCTATCTATAGGCAGAGCCAGTTGTGCCCGCCCCCTCCCTGTCCGTTCCTCCACTCAGCGCTGAAGGATCGCAGCGGGGAGGGGGGAATCCCTGCGGGGAGCCATGAATGACAGACACCGGTCTCTGCAGTGAGATGATTGAGAAGTGCGCGAGTGACAGTATACGTTCGCTCACTTCCCAATCTATTGAGCCGACATGTGACAGTTTCATTGTCACACATCGGCTTCAACTTTGAGGATGAGTGATTTTTACTCACCTCATAATGTTTCTTTAATGAGAATGTATTATCTAAAATTCACATCCACTTAACTCGACTTAAAAAAAGTTCTATGCAACAAGTAAAAAACCATTTAGAATTTCCATAATGCTATTTAGAAGAAAATAAAACTATGCAAATTCAGAACATCCAGACAGAGTTCCTTCATCTAGTTATTGCAAAGATTTGTCTTTCAAGGTCTTTTTCTGGGGCTTCTGGGTGGATCTATAAAGCCTTAAATTATGTCCCCGCCCACTCAGAGGTCTGGAGAAGTGTCAATGTGAGACTTTTAAAGAGAAATGCAGAGTAGGGTATCGAGAGAAGAGCATCACAGAACATCTGATCACACTGTAAATCACTAGAAGGAATGTTGTTCCTCTGACCCTACCTGTCAGGCAGACTCAAGAGACATGACAGTTTAGTGGGTTAGTAAACCAACTGGCATCTACTAGAATTAAAATATAGGGTGTCGAGAGATGAACATTACAGAGCATCCGATCTACTCTAAATTATTAAAAGAAATGTTTTTGCTCTGGCCCTACCAGACTCATGAGGCATGAGAGTTGGGCGGGTTTTTCAACCAACTGGCATCTACTAGAACTAACAAAATGAAATAACAAGTCCAGCCAAACAGAAAAAAGCACCTATATAGGTACTGTTTTACAGGCTAAAATAGTTTAATAAGTGGGCACAAACTCCTGCTAATCCAGAGTTTTCTTCTACAGTTTAAAGCACATACAATATTGCTGAGTTTTCAGTCAATTCTGATGTGAACAGGCTCTCAAACTAACTGAACTAAAAATGGCTTCATGACAAACTACAAGATGATTTTTAAATATGTCCGAAATTGTTTTAAACTATGTTAAAAACAAATCTCTGTTTAGTCTTAGATATGGACAAGATGGTGCTCGGGTTTCCTAAGATACACTAACCCCTAAACTAAACTTTCTAGAAGTTAACATTTATGTACTTAGAGACAATGAGAAATTCACTTGAGAAATAAAAGCAAAAACAAGGATTCTTCAATCTCTTTTATTCTGCTTTTTTATATGATTGCGTTTCAGTACTATATTGTTTTTACAGCAGTCTGGATTTAAGAGAACCATTAAAAAATGCGTACATGTACAGACACTTTATCTTTTCTTAGTACCAATAGCTTTAAGGCAGTCACCAGTTGAAGGAGAAATATAATGACTAAAATTGTATAAAAATGTAAATGCTGATATGAAAAAGTGTGGTGGTAACACAAGAACATTACTGCATTAGTAGCACTGAATGACACTTAAGTCATTTCCCTGGGATGCTCCATTTGGACTGTTTTCAATTTAAAATGACATTTTTATTACCATAACTGATAGCAGGTGTTTGTGAGAAAATCGATTAGCATGCAGGCATGGAAATTACTTCTCCCAAATGAATTGTGAAGTTCGTAATATAGGACAAAAATTGAGTGGCAAAGTGCAAAAGGCCATAAAACATGTGCTGGCGACATCATATGTATACATTATCTTGCTTAACAAAACATATAGGAAATGGCAATGTCATATCGGAAGACTGTGCTCTCCTTCTGCTATTTAGCTACTGATTATTTTTGTGCATTCCATCATTTTATAATATAATGCAGTGTTCCTTGGAAGGCAAGAAAATGCCATTATGAGGAACAGATGTTCACAAAAGAAATACACTCGCTTCTTCTCACATTCTTGTCTTGAACAATGCCTCTGATTTCAATTTTGGATGAAGTTATCTCCATTTTTTTCATGGAGCATTGCAGCATAGAACATAACCTATTAATCAGCTGTGGGCGAAAAAGTCAAGTGCATCTCCAGCCTGGGCCCAGGATAAACACTTCTCTAGGCCAAAATAACATAACTACCTAAACTAGTCTGCTATTTAAAGAAGAACTTTACTATTTGAATAAAAAAAGACTTTTAAAAATTGCATTATAAATTTACAAACATATAATCCGTTTTTTGTGGAAAACATTACTCCAGCTCCACTCTGAATTGCTCCTTACAGCTATGTGTAATCTGTGGTGAAGAGCAAGGGGCCAGCACATACACATTATGGGTTGATTTACTAACGGCAAAAAGGGGATTTTAAAAGGGGATTTTAACTTTGCAAGGGAATTTTCCCTTCGCATAGTGAATGTGGTGACAATAATTTGCAAAGAATACCCAATCATGTGCAAGGAAAATAAAAATTAAAAAAAATCTGTATTTGTGCTTGCACATGATTAGATGATGGAAGTCAGCAGAGCTTCACCTCATTCACTAAGCTTAATGAAAATTCCCTTGTAAAGCAAACAGCCTATCAGTGTCGTCACAAGGCGGGTGCGGCCCCCACCCGGGTGACACCATTGGATTGAGTGACACCAAAATGAGTCATTTTGGTGTCACCCCCTCTAAAAAATCGGGCACTCGGTCATGTACCGAGAGCCTGACAGTGTCAGGAAAGAGGAGGGGACCCGGCGGCATACCTCATCCTGCCGGGTGAGCATCCTCTCCTCTCTCTGTCGGCGTCCATCGCAAAGCGCATGCGCGATGATGACACGGCGGAGTGTCACCCGGTCTCTGCTCCGGGATGCCCCTGCAGCCTATTTGACTTTAGTAAGTCAACCACGTTTTGTAAGGGTCCTTGACACTGGGATATTTTTGGTAGCTGTTCTCCCATTGCAAGTTATATAGGTAAACTGTCAAACTTAAATTAAGCTGTAGTTCTTTTTATATTGTTTGTGATGTTAATACACCAGCAGTAGAGTACCATGTTAGCTATTGATTAGTGCAGAAAGTTTGCAGTTCAAGTAATACCCTTTATTGGCTAACTTAAAGCATAGCTACATCCAAAAACAAACAATATATATCAGTTTACTAGTCCATAGATGTCATCGATGCAATTGTTTCCTTTTTTTAACAGCCTTGTCACCCTAGTTTGCGCTACAGTTTTGGACAATGAACATTTCCTCTCCTTATTACCATCATATAGGGAGTAGGGGGTGTGTAGTACACATGAAGATAAATGGATACTGGATTTCTTTTAGGATCACCAGGTATTTTGCTCAACTTGCTGAAAATGTACTTGTTTGAAAAAATAAAACTAATGAAGCCTACCACAACGAAGCGCTGGTGAACTGAAATATATTTCATTTTTGTTCTTGGGTCTAAATATACTTTAGGTTATTAAAGATGCAAGCTTTTTGGGGTCGATCTTACATCTTTTTCTCAGGCATTTTACAATTCTAAAAATTATTCTGAAACCCACATACTTAAACACAGAGTAAATAAATATGTGGGTTTCAGAACCATTTCAGAACTGTATAATGCATGAGAAAGGAACCTGTGTAAGGTTTCAAAAGTCTGCATGTTTAACAACCTAAGTTAGTCAATAAAGGGTATCACTTAAACTCTAAAGTAGATAACTTCTCAAACATACAGTTATAAAATACTTCCCATGGTGATTTAGCATCTGATAGAGCAAGATCATTAATATGATGGTCATAGTCAGAGGTTAGGGCTGTACAAACAGAGCAGAGTTTATGAGCTTATATTCTAATTAGGGATGTACCAATAACGAGTATTTGGGCGAGTACTTCCCAAATGCTCCCAATACTTATCCCGATACCAGAACTTCTGGTATCAGGAAGCCAGCTCTGTGCTGCCTCATCACCAGGGAGCATGGAGCTGGCTTCCCAGCCAATCAGGACGTCGGGGGGGGGGGGGGCGGGTAATGACTCGCCCCACGGCATCCTGATTTGCCAGAAAGCCCCAGAAAGCCAGCGCCATGGTCCCTCATCACTTGGTGATCAGGAAGCCAGGCGGTGAGTTATTATATGCTGCCCGACTTCCTTAATGAGACTTCCGGTATCAGTATTCGGTATTGGCGAGTACTAAAAAAAAATACTGGTACTTAATACCGAAAAACAGTATCAGTGCGTCCCTAATTCTAATACCTCTATATCAGTTCTCAAAAACTGACACCTTTAAGCTATGTTATTCTGACTAAAAAAAACCAATGGCAAAAATAGGATTGCACCGCTATTTCCTTTATCATGTAAGATGAGAATATTTAAGACAAGGGGTCATTTTATGATAGAGGCAATCGCAATTGTAACTTGAAAGAACTTTCTGAAGTACTCTTTTTGAAGCAAGTAGCTTTTTGAAATAGTACATTGACTTCTTAAATAATTA